ATATATATATATATATATATATATATATACCTATATATATATATATATATATATACATAAATCATCAAAGAAAGGTAAATACAGTGTTCGAATAAAGGACATAATAATTATATATATATTGTTTTGCATTCTTTGTGTTTTGAGTGCTGCCTGGGAGAGCCACATGACAACAGTGGCACACATTCATGTGCTTTTAGTCATCCTGGGTTGGCAGCATTCTCTTTGTTTCTATTGTTCTTGTAAATTTGGTGTATGTAGTCTTGTATGAATTTCAACCTTAACTAAATTTGAATTGAACCACCCTTGTAGATACAGTAAACATGTTTTTATTAGTTGACTCTTATTATAAAATTGTATGCAAACATTAAAATATAATATTTTTAAAATATCACACTAATGATATAGTATTTCAAAAAATATTTATTTTGAAGGCTGGTATGAATGATAAAATGTGAAAGTTGTTATTATTCATTATGTATCAGAAATGTTCTCAAACATTTTGTACCTATATTAGTTATTAAATGTTATTAAATGTTTCCATGATATTGAAAAAAAATTATTTCTTGTGCTGAAAAATGCTATCATCATTATCACCAGCCTATGAACACTTCACCTATCTGGTACATGGATTGGAAAAACACGAGCTGTCTTGTCTCCAGACACGGTGAGTATTGTGTTTCCATCTCTGAAAATATAAAGCAAATGGTCCACATTCAAACTGTGTACAATATCAAATAATCACAAGAGGTGATTTATTTAAAATCTGAAGCTACCTCACACTTAAGCATGGTGTTATTTCATTATGGGCGAATACATTTATTAAGCCTGGTAAACTATTAACAAGTTGACGGTCAACTGGCTGTTGAAACCATTTCCACTCAGTGTTAGTGCTGACAAAACGACACCATCCGATTGATCTTGATGTCAGACTTAGTGGATCATCATTAAAAAGAGGTTTCTTATTGCAATAGACTGGATTGCAATGGATATTGATATTCATGTGTGACCTCACACTTTTATGACTAAATAATAGGGGCCAGTACAGGCAAATTTAATTTGCAGGTCTACATCAGAGCATAAAGGTGATCACAAGAGGAATAATTATTCTCACTGTGTAGGCCTACCAAAGAGCCAAGCAAATTATTAATTATTCAGTTCTATCAAAGTGTGAGGTTATCATGAATATTAATATACATCACAATCTAGTCTATTGCATAAAGTTCCCACATTGAAAAGAATCCCTCGCTGACACACGCACACCTCAACATGTTCAAGTTTAAATAACATCATGTAGACCGTCTGGCGGCCACAAAGTGTACACCTTTACCGTCCTACTTACCTACTAATAGTCATGTCAAGTATTTCTCCCGTGTGACCTGACCAACAACCTTCAACCTTTCCTGACCTTGCATCCCACAGTCTTAGCATCCCATCCAGACTGCAAGAGTACACTAATGGGTTTGATTTGTCCCACTTTAACTTAACTATTCCAGCCTATGAAAAAGAAAAAAAATGCCATACCAATTCAAGGTGTGATACATGAAATGCATTAAGAATAGAAAAAAAAACCAGTTTCTTACAAAAGAAAGAGCAAATAATGGGAAAGGATATAGAGATTAGCAAATTGAAAATAAGAGAAGTAAAATATGACAAAAAAGTAAAAAAAAAAGTAAAAGTAAAGTAGTAGTAGTATAAAATTTGATCTTTGAGACTTTGAAGATAAACATAAATAATCCACGGCAGTTTGCCTACGTTATTCTGTACACAGTTTTTTATCTCTGAATCTAAGATAACCCACAATATTTCCAGCAGTTTTCTTAGAAATAAAATGCTTGGACATTGAACAAGGTCTGCTAATCTCAAAAGCTCCGATGAAGGCAGTATAAGGCAGTAGGATATATTGGCCCTAACAGCTGCCAATACAAAAAAAAATCTATTAATCAAAAAGGATTTCAATCAGCCGGGTATTATAGCTTCTCATCAGAGCTAATAATAATAAAAAATAATTGGCCCTAACAGTCAACCATACAAAAAGTGAATGAAGAAATATCTATTAATCAGCTGGGTATACCTAGAGCTCCTCATTGGAGTTAAAAAATAAAATATTAACAGAATTCTAAAATCTATTAGTCACTTCAATACATTTAACAATTTATAAATCATAGGAGCACAAAGAAAATACCTACAATCATATTAAAAATAAAAATAATTTAATTTTAAACAAATTAAATTATTAAATAATGAAATTTTAAACAAATTAAATTATCAAATAATTCAATTTTAAACAAATTAAATTATTTCAACAGAACTTACATCATGTTGGCACTTATGTCGGATGATCTGAGTGGGCGTGTCCCATATACTAAGTGTTCCATTTAAAGATCCAACAGCAGCCAAGGGTTGGCTAAAAATAAAATTGACAAGGAATCAAGGTTTGATAATAAATTTCTCATTTTCAAAATATATACACATTTCATGTTTTTGTATTTGTTTTGTTGGATTTCTCTACAAACAACTAACAAAATATTATTGATATGTATATGAAAATTCTCCAAAGCTTTATTTTCATTTTCTTTAGACCTTTGTTTTCACTATCTGCAATGGGACACAGGCATTTTTGGGGAATGCACCCCTTGGGCACCCTAAATACACAACTGATCTGATGTCCTGTTAATTAGTAATAAACCATACCTGTGACAGAATCCCACAGATTCTACTGAATTTGTTTCCCCAATATCTTCATTAACATCTCCTGCAAAAAATACAGCTATCTCCTGAATGCAGAGAATCAATTCAAAAAGGTCAATAACAAATATCTAACAAATTATTAATATTAATTATTAATACTGTAATATAATATCAGAAATACTAGCTACTGTACTAAAATTTAACTGACTGTACTGTTTTAAGTATAAGGCACTTGTCAATTCTATTCCCAGAACCCACCCCCCCCCCCATGAACCTGGGGCGTGCGTATTGATTGATCATAGAAAAAGAGAATTGATTGATGGATTAAACTGATTGATAGAATATATTCAGTATCAAAATAGAAATTAAATAAGAAAATCAATACAGTAGTAGAAACAAATTTCCTTGCCTAGGCTCACTGGTGTATTTTTTGACGTAAACTAGGTCAGATACACGGTTCACAAATTTTCACGCAACACACTCACGTTACCTCAGTCCCCGTCGTTGTGTGGTGGAGGTACGGTTCAAATTTTATTATGTAATTTATACTGTGAATCTTGATCTATAAAAGGTACTCTAGGCCTAGGTACCATAGAGTACCAGTAGGTGACTTTTTTAATTACCAAATCACATAGAAATTGCTGGATGCCTAGTGTAAGCAAATTGCTAGGTAGGACCAGACCATTTGACAGCGCTAGGCCTACATTACGGGGACACAACTATGTGTACCTCCACGGCTCACTTTCGCCCAGTGCCTCGCTATGGCCCGGGTCTGGGGGGAGAGGCCGGGAATACAATTGCCAAGTGCATAACTACAAACAAGTAGAACTACAAGTTCTACTTCGAAATGTGGCTGAGGACAAACTTACCTTCCCAGTATTACAATTATATATCTTGCTTGACCCATCAACAGATCCTGACAAGATGAGATTGTTGTTGTCATGGCAATCTAAAGATGTCACACTGTCTTGGTGACAAGAATTTCCTTAAAAAGCAATA